AACATTGGATTGGCCAGTGGCCACTGCTACCTGGGAGAGTAACTGACAGTTCTGCGCATAATTAATCCCTTCGGCGGGTTCCTTCTGTTTTTTTCTAAAACTTTGAATTTGGCCTGCACTACGTACAAAAACTGCTAAGACGTTACAAAGTCACCTGTTTTCCGGGCGATTCCTGATAAGAAGAACGCATGGGTTATCCCTGCTAGCCTCTTTCCCCCAAAGATCACAGAAGAGATCGGCCACAGTAGCCGACGTAAAATAAAACTCCACGCTCTGACCTACCATACACGTTCTTGAGACTTACGATTGAGACGAAAACGCACCAAGTATTAAAAAGCCACAATTTAAAATGATCTAAAGTCAGACCTGTGTCTGTATAGTTGGCTTGGAATGCCCTATACAGACAACGCATGGTTGTGATTAATTTCCAACGACTGTACGCCCACAACCCATAAACGCCTTTTTTGAAAAAAGCTGCTACTCACTCACCTTCCTCTAGTCGTCACATTTTAAGCACGTGAAAATAGATTGTCTGCAGGAAGCTCTTACTGCTTGGAGGTTTTTGGTTGGATGGGCCGTGGAAGGGGATAAAAAACACTTCGGAGTCACGCGTATCGATTTTTTAATAAAAGTAAGCCACATGATCGACCACTTAGCTTCCGAGGCAGTATGTACTGTGACGATTACCATCTCTGGCTAAGCGCCAGCGGGTAGGAAAGCTGTTTTGTTTTCTGGCGGTTTAAACGGAACCCTCTGTTTGGCCCATTTATGCGTAGGCGTTTGCGTGTACACGCGACTTTTAGCTTCGCCGGCGCGCACAGCAGGCTAAAGCCAAACAGTCTGTAGTAAGCACAGGCGGGCAGATGACCTTCAGGAGAGCAAGGAAAAGAAGTCAACAGGCATGACGAAATGTGCGCACGGGCATTTCGCCAGGTCGGCCCGATGACGGGGTAGGCAACGGAAGGGCCAATCATATCCTCGTGTACGTTTCTCTGAGGCGAATTGTCCCCCTATAAAAGCAGCCTGCATGGCGTGGGTCGCCTTTCTCCTGCAGTCAGCGCACAGATGGCGTCCAAGGCGGCGCAAAAAGTCGGCAAATGCTGTCTAGACAACTGGTTCATGCTGTCAACCATACTGGGGGTAATCATCGGATTTGCTGTTGGATTTGGCCTCAAGCAGGTCCACCTAGGAGAGGTGGCAAAGATGTGGCTTCGTAAGTATAAAGTCTTATACATGCCACCCTCCGCCCACCTCTCACTCCCCCTCTAAGTTTATACGTCTTCACTCGTAGATCACATATAATGTGTCACCGTATTGCTTCTTTGCCAGCGTACTGTTCTTACAAACATGCATACATGGTTAAGAAGCATTTTTAATTCTTTTTATACTCTTCTGGCCTACAAAGTAGCGCGAATTAGCACACGGGGGAGTGGATACAGCTTTCCTTATGATGGGACTTTTCCCGATTATTCGCCTGGCCTTCTTGCCGCCGAGGTCGTGATCCTAAATATTTTGTGCAATATTATTGAAGGCGGAACAGAAGATAAATAAATATTTCTAACAATAAAGTTGGCCGACCACTTTAGATGCCACTTGCCTCTAGTGGTTTCTTTTAGTTTTATTATTTTTATTTTAGTTTAGTTTTTAATTTATTGTATATTTACTTATTATTTTACTTTTAGCTTTATTTTAGTTTCTCTTAGTCTGCTTATTACTTTATTACTAGTTTACGTTTGGGCTTAGCATAGTATATTTAGAGACCGCCCACGTTAGATAAATGTACTTAAATAACTATTGAAGGCTAAATTAAACCAAACTAAGCTAAACGAAATAAAAATGACTCAAATAGAAACTAAAATACGACGAATAAAACGAATAAACGAAATAATTAACTAACAATAAATTTCTGCTACCCGTCGCATTAAACAGAATTCTAGAACAAGGGGTATCCAAGCTAGACTGCCAACTTTATTGTGATCGAAATATTTAAGTCCCATTAGTATACTCAGATAATACTGTTGTCCAGGCCACGTTGTGTGTTCCGGTGCAAGTGAAATTTATTGTTGACCTCGGGTATGTGCGTACGGACACTAACTAAAACATGTTAAACGCTGGCTAAATGCGTGTCCTGATGCAGTACTGCTGCAACAGGGTTCAGACCTTGGAAATTATCTTTTTTGCCTAACTTTGTTTGCAAATATCATATATAAGAAATAAATTCTGCCTAGTCTATAACAGAGCTCTGGGAGTGAGTAAGCATGGGCTAGTATGGAACCACTCTATTGCATTTTAGTATGCTAGCTGAACTTCATAGATGCTAGTTGTAAGATGCACCGGGTCGCCCCCATGGGGGATTTCGCCCGCTTTCGATCATGAGCCGCTGTCACTGGATGATTTTAGAGCATAGCAACTAGAATTTCAACTAGGAATTAAACAAGCAGTACATGGATGCAGTCCAGTGCTTCTTACATGCGTAGTCAATTACAAAAGGACAGGCTTCTCAAAGTTTCGTTCACACAGATAATTCAAGTCAAACTTCCACTTTTAGATATCGCCTTAGTATAGGCATTATATAATTTTAGCCAATTTATTTAGAACAGTAGAATGCACTGCGGTACGGTAATACTCCAGTAGACATGAGGTAATTTTATTCCTTAGAGCGCTATTTTTGGATCCTCAAAAATGAGGCAGGCTGCTTTATGGGAAGACTTTTCGGAGATGGGAGCAGTATTTGGATTCCCTTGCGGATTGCAAAGTGCATCTTCAGATTATTACTGCCCAATTGTTAATTTTCCTTCCAGTTTTCTGGGAGCCGACTGCTAAAATGTTTTAGCTCCTCTCACAATTTTAACTAGGACAAACTGGCTGTTAAATAGTAAGTAATTATTAAAATCTTGCCACAGCAATGTAATCTACTAAGAACTAACAAAGGATTTATGAGTTAGCTCGCTTGGCGATGAACCTGCGTAGGCGTTTGTGTGTACGCGCGGCTTTTAGCCTCGTCGGCGTGAACTTACATGCAGGTCCCTTTCGTTCCTCGCAGGACGGGAAAACAGAAACTGTCTGTACTACAGGCGGCTTTGCGTTAAATTCCAAGGAAACTATTTAAGGCGGAGCTTGGGGCGAAGATAAATTTAGGGTCAGGGTTACGGTAGAGGTTTCGAGTAGAGTTCACGTTAGGAATAGAACACTAGAATATTTGTCATTCGTGGAATTTAGTTCAAGACTGCTTTGGGG